ATAAAAAAAATGAACAAAAACAGAATTTCCCCTTTGAGCAGAGTGGTTCAAACTGCTTCACTTTTATCCTAACCTCTTTGTCTCTGAATTTGTTTTGCTCTAAGGAATTTATGCATGAAAATCTGTATGGCAGGGGGGTATACAATTACAAATTTGGGGGCCCTGCGACCTTCTGTGGCCCCCAAATTTAACTGTTGTTCCCAAAGTAGTGGTTCCCCAAATAGATACCGAACTGTAATTTTCAAAGTGAGGGAAGGAGAGTATTCTTAAATACATAGCAGACATGTTGACTATATGAACTTTAATTTGCACTTAATTAAAATTAAATACATGAAAAAACTTCTAGTGTCGCTTATTTCCTGGAACATCACTCCACAAAGTATTTGACAGTCAGATGTGGACTTCAAAAATTATTGTGTAGTGCACCTTGATTCACAGTATATACCCTACTCATAGAAAATGCTTCTAAAAGCATGGAATAAACGTTTTAATAAACTTTAGAAAGGGATTTGTTTTGAACAATACACATATTTTACCACTTTTTGAAAAAAAAAACAGCAATACAAAGCATTGTAGTTGTTTGACATTTCTAAACCGCAGGCAATATAGAGCTTCAAAAGCATTGGTTTATATAGAAAATCTTCCTTGAATATGTCAGGAATACAATGTAGAATTTTCCATTTCCAAAACACATATTTGACCCGAGTGACACGCCATCTCTAAAGAAAGGGCCACACTTCCAAGAGCTGTGATTATTTCACATAATCATGTGATTATTTCAATTCTTGTATCAAGAAAGGTCTTTTAGATCAGAGACAGGCAGTCTTTTGGATAATAGAATTACATGTAATTTGTAAGAAGGGCCAATTAATATATTGGCTGAAATGTTCATCTAAAGGAAAGGGCCATGTCACACCCAGAAGGAATTTCATTAAAAATGAGGTGTCTGTGGGTTTTTAAAAAATGTATCTAGTCTAACATTTACACAATAATTTTTATGGTGGGGTTTTTTTAAAAATTTTAAAATGATAGGAATGTCACCTTTGATTTTCAGCAATTACTCATTTCTGGGTAACTCAGAGACCTAGTTTAATATGATAAGGCCTATCGATGGATCCTTGGTGCTCTCTTAGCTTGTTTGTTTCCTTGTAGACATTTCATTACACAAACTAGGTAACATCAATGCTAGTAAGGAGTGCAGTTTGCTGTCAGTTTATATCAATATTCTGATGGTTTCCCTCTCAGTGTTGGTGGGGGTGGTCTTAGAGATTCTTTGGTTGGGCTGTTTGCTATTGGCTTCTTTGGCAGTTTCTTGATTGGGCTATTGTTTACTTGATTGTTGGTCTGATGTTATGATGAAGACTATATGAAATCACTACAAGAACACTTAACACATTATCAATCAGCTCTTCCTTACAAACTAGCAATGAATACTGTATTTTAAAATCAGAGAGGGAAGTATTCTGATCAGGAAAACTCCATTTTGCCACTGTTTGATTACATCATTAATCCTTGTTTCAATACACTGGAAGTAATTTGAGTCCACACATGACCCCTGAAGGTCAGCAAAACAGCTGCTTCATTAAGGCTCAGCCCTGACACCTTCCATAGTTAGTCTCTACTGTTTGGCTTCATGGAATAGCTTGAAAGGGGCACATAAGAGCTGATAAAAGCAAAGCACTTATTTGAGGATTGGCACAGATCTTCCAAATAATATTCATTCATTCATTCATTCATTCATTCATTCATTCATACATACATACATACATACATACATACATACATACATTCCTACGTTCATAACGATTCTGCCGTGCACAGGAAGGGACAATGGACTGAGAGGTACAAAGTTGCCTAGTGCAGTTCATCATCTAATACGGATCATGGATCTCCCTGGCCAACATTCAACATGTTAATTATAATTTTAGAGAATTTAAAGAAAATAAGAACTGTGGAATCTTACTGGGGGGCAAGAGCACAAATAGCTCCATAGTTTAATCCTAAAATGCTTCTCTCTGTTGAGTGATGTATTATGAAGAATGAGCCTATAAGTAGAAATCCTGAAGTTAAATCCCCAGAGACTGAGCTGTGAAAGAACCTTGTCTGAAATCCTGGAGATCTTTGGCACTTGGTATACACAATACTGAGTGATAAACTTCTAAGAAGCACCATCATAACCATCACAATTACCACTATCTCCTTGGGGAAATATGTTCCCTTTCTGAACAAACTGTTGACACACATTTCTTTACTGTAATGGTTCACTTTTCAGGCTAATACAGGCAATAGTGAGCTTGAGAATTTTGAAAAAGTATTATTATACAACCACTGGAATGGGGGCCATGAATGACAAGTAGCAATTTTACCTCCCAAAAACTCAACCACATGATGAAACCAAAAGATAAATACTAATTTTGAAGAATTCCTGATCACCAGACTTGTTGTTATATTGTACTTTTTAAAAAATAAATTACTAAACAACTACATACAACACTTGGTGGAATGGAGGGAGTTTGCCCAAAAGTGCTCACTGAGTAATTGCTCCATCAGGATTCTTGTCCCGCACAGAACCATAGACAGCATATGTCTTATAGAAGTTAGCCCAGGCTGAACTGACATGTTCTTCATTCAGCCTTAAGTCTACAAAAACACCTTTTGTCATGAAACTTGCGGCTCCTTTTGTCAACCTCTTCCTGTCTCTGTTGTCTCTGTTCCTAGACATTGCCAATCGTTTTAGACTTCCCACCAAGATAATGGTCTCACAGCTTTTGTACAGCTTGAGGCTATCTTAGATGGTGCTTGTATAAAGGAGAAAACAGTACCTGCTGAATCTTAGTATAGGTAAGGAAAACAATTTATGGTGGCCTCACTCATAGGTCAAGGACAAGATGAAAAGCAATAGCTGGAGGCAAAACAGAAAAAAAAAATGTTGCTAGAACATATTTGTGCCATGGTTAAATGCAAGTGAGAACATGATTTCAGCAAGATGCTTGACAGAAGACAAAATGGTTCAGTTGGAACTTCAGTTTAAATGTTTTGCTCCATCCTTCTTAAATTTTATTGTACTCTGTAGGTGCCAACATGAGTAAGCATCCAATCATAGGTAAATCCTACAATACAGAAATCCTGTTACAAATAGAGTGAAACTAGCTTAAAGATGCTAATGTGAAGAAAAAGCTTTTGTGGTGTGGCCAAATAATTGAGAATAACAGGGACCTCCTCAGTTCAGTCCCCAGTAGCAACATTGTTTTATATTCATACCATTTCTTCAGGGCCCAGGTCTTCATTGCCATTGGACAATCAAGGCAAGACAATCAATTAAATCTACTAAACAGATATTGTTCTGAGTGCTGAAGGGAGCTCTCAGATGAAAGGGAATAGAAGGGGAAATTGCTATGATAACAAAACTAATAAATATTTTGAATTTCAACCATGAATGACCAGCACATATCTACATCCACAAAGTGGCTGGTGCTAATCATAGTGCTATTGACCCCTTTTTCAAAGTAACAAATGTTATTGAAACACTACCCCTCCCCCTCTCCCTCCCTCCCTCTCTCTCTCCCTCTCTCTCTCCCTCTCATTCTTGCCTTCTCCTACAGCGCAGAGCCAAAACTTGCTCTGCAGGACAACTCCAAAGGAAGGAAGCCACTGAGCTTCTTCGCCTGTCCTCCTGCCCGCTCCGCCGCCAAAGGAAACCCTAATGAGTTTCCTTCCGCGAAGGCTCCGAAGTAGCTTTTCTGCGACGGGAATTAGGACCCGACGGCGCGGTGGGGAGGGGGGAGGAAAGGAGCTTTTGTGGGAAAAGGAAATGTTGCTTTTTGAGAGAGGCGAGAGATCCCCTGCGAGCTGGCCCTGAGAGGCGCCAAGTGAAGTCGGTCACCTGGTGGTGAAGGACAGTAAAACAGAGAAGGGGAGGGAGAGAGAGAGGGAAGTCTCCCCCCCCCCTCGCCGCTCTTGCTTGTCGGGCAAGAAATCCCCCCTCGGAACCCGTCCCAGCAGACTCTTTTTCTCTTTTTCTTTCTTTCTTTCTTTCTTTCTTTCTTTCTTTCTTTCTTTCTTTCTTCTTTCTTTCTTTCTTTCTTTCTTTCTTTCTTTCTTTCTCTTTCTTTTTCCTTCCTCTCCTCCTTCTCCTCCTCCTCCTCTTCTTTCTTTCCTTCTCCTCCTCCTCCTCCTCCTCCCTCCTCCTCCTCTCCTCCCCTCCTCCTCCTCCTCCTCTCCTCCTCCTCCTCCTCCTCCTCCTCTTCTTCTTCTTCTTCTCTTTTCTTCTTCTTCTTCTTCTTTTCTTCTTCTTCTTCTTCTTTTCTTTCTCTTTCCTTCCTCCTCCTCCTCCTCCTCCTCCTCCTCCTCCTCCTCCTCCTCCTCCTCCTCCTTCCTCCTCCTCTTCTTCTCCTCCTCTTCTTCTTCTTCTTCTTCTTCTTCTTCTTCTTCTTCTTCTTCTTCTTCTTCTTCTTCTTCTTTCTTCTTCTTCTTCTTCTTCTCTTTCTCTTTCCTTCTCCCCCCTCCTCCTCCTCCTCCTCTCCTCCTCCTCCTCCTCCTCCTCCTCCCCTCTCCTCCTCCTCCTCCTCCTCCTTCACCTCCTCCTCCTCCGCCCCTCCCCTTCTCTCTTCCCCTCCTTTCCCCTCCTTCGCTCTCTCTCTCTCCCTCTCCCGCTCCAGCGGTTGGGTTGCTTATCCTGGAACCAAAAAAAAAAAAAAAAAAAAAGCAATCCAGAATCCAGAAGAGAGTCTCTGCAGGACTTGGATCCGTGTCGCTCCGGCCGGGAAACGTGGACGCCGCCGCTGCCTTAAGCTGGCAGGGGGGGGAGGCTCCGACACCTTGCGCCGGGGGTGCCCAGACGCTCGCGCTCTTCAGCGGGAGGAGACGGTCGGAGCCTGGCGGTTTTGCTGCATTGATGCCGTCCAGGGAAGACCGGGGAGCTGCACCGCCTTTTGCCTTCGGAGGCAGCGATTGGCCGCTTGCGGAAGCTTCCCTCGCCCTGAGCCTGCCCGGCGTGATTTCGCCGCCTTCTGCTGGCTCGCCTCGTCCTGCCCTCCGCCCCTTTGCCTCGCTCCAGGACAGGATCCCCGGCTCGTGGGCAGGAAAGATCACCTGTCGCTTTTCATCGGGGAGGGAGATCTAAGCAGGCGCGGGGGAGGGGACGGAAAGGAGAGGAGAGGAGAGGACCGAGGGGCCGCCGGAGGGGATCTAGGATTGCTCAGCCAACCTCCGCCGATCTCTGGGACTGTGGCAGCGACGGAGGCGATTCCCGGGGAATGAAATTCAGCCGAGCAGCTGGGATTTAGAGGAGACGGCGGAGTTTGGGCTGGAAACAGAGAGCCTAGAATAGATGTGTGATTATTATTCGAGATTCGGGTCCCCCCCAGCGAGCAATTGGCACAACTTCGAGAGGGGGTTTTCCGCCGCCGCCGCTCTGCTCGCGCCTCCCGCCTTTGCTCGCCCTCTCGCCTCCGGCTCCTTCAGTTTCGGTTTATGGACCGCTCGCCCCATCTGGATATTGAAGAGCTCAAGGTACGTGCTCTTGGTCCGGGGCCGCGCCAGGGAAAGGGGGCGGCTGGGTCGCGCTTGGTCGGCTTTTTGCCTCCTCTCGGTTTCCCCTTTGGTTTCTTGGCCCGAAGGAGTTGGAGGCGCTTTCTGGGCGCTGGGGGGGGGGCGGGGGAATCGGGATGTGGCGGCCATAGGCGCGCCCGCTCAGGCCACCGATCCTCCGCGGGAAAAGCAGGAGGAGGAGAAGGCGGGGGAGGGGGGGAAGATGGGGGGGTGGGGGGTGGGAGGAAGGAGAGACCGCGAAGAGAGCGCTGGGGGGACGGACTCCACACGGGCGCCCCTCCTTCCTCTCCGGCTGCGCGGGCAATAGGCGCGATCCTAAAGGGACTCCGGAATTCAGCGCCTTCAGCACTTCGGACAGCGCCTCGGGCTCCGAACGCGGGAGGTGCGGAACCGGCGGCGAGGTGGCTTCTCTCTCTCTGGGTTGAACTATGAGGCTGCTGCTTTTTATCCCCCCCCCCCACGCTTCGAGACGGAACGACCCTCCTCCCGCTCGCTGTCCCCTTGCCTAGCGGTTTGAAAACCGCGCAGCGCCTCGGATCTCTCCCAAGAAAAGGCGTTCTTTCGGGGGATGAAGCGGCGAACCGGTGTCGTTTCTTCCCGTCCCGAAGGGTGGATCTCGGGGTTCCCCTCCGCCGATCGCTTCCTTCCGAAAGTCAGCCTTCCTCCCAAGCGCTCGCAACGCAAGGCCGTTAGGAAGATCCAGCGGGCATTCAAGCTCAGCCCTGGGATCTTCTCGAGACGCCGCGATGCCATTCGGGGACAAGGGAAGGGCAGGTCAAACTTTGAATGGGGATCGCGGAGTGAAGATTTTTTTGGTTTTTTTTTTCTTTTTTAAAAGTGTCCCCATCAGATTTCTCCTTCTTTTAGGTTCCGTCTTAAGGACCAAAGGGGGGAAGAGCTTCGAGCATGCGCGGGGTGAAGCTGCTGCTCCCCTCCCTTATTTTTAGAACATGTTCCCTACATCAAACGGAGCGGGTTTGGGGATCGAAGCAAGCAAGAAGGGAAGCCAGCGAACGTGCTGCAGAAATGGCAGTGGGGGAAGGAAGGGAGAAGGGAGTTGGAATAAGGGAGTTAGAAAAGGAGCAGGAGATGAAGCAGAAAGTTGAGGGGTATAAGGCAAATCTAAAGGTTCAGATGATAAAAATAAGAAGGGTAAAAACTCCGAAGGGGGAGGGAAGTAAAAAGGGGGAAAAGACTCAGAGCTCCAATGGGATTCAAATAATCTTTATCAAGACAAATGACTTGGTCTGACATCTTGAGGATTCTAAAACCTTTGTGAAAGAATAATCATCTTACTTTCTGGATTTCTTCATTCTCTGCTTCCCCCATTCTTTGTTTCTCTAAAGTTAAGTTGGAATTTAAGTGTCAGTGGGTCATACCCAAATAGTATGTTTCCTGGTTTTAATATTAATGCGTCCTCACACCAACTTTTTGTAGGCTGATCCTTGCACATGTCTTCAGAAGCCAGCAAACGGTTTACTGAAAGCTCCAACCATGAATCAATGATAGCTATAATCATTTAAAAATTGTACATCCCCTGCTGAATACAGAGACTCTGTATATTTTATTTTGAAATCTGGAGGATGAGTTCTTAAAATGAGGGGTGCAGCGTTTCCAGCCTGCAAAGGACAGCCTTTTGCTGTTTGACAGATTCCTTATGAAGTTTGACATTAAAGTTCAGTGTGAGGATGGTGCTTTTAGCAGAAAATACCACCTTCCTCATGGAACAGATTCTTATATGGAAATTTCAAAGTAGGCTAGGTCTCACTGACAGTTTCCCTCTGTAGCAGACACTTTTTCTAAAGAGCATAGGTGGAGGGAGAGATGTTCCCATTAATCTTCTGGTGAGCAGCTCTGCAATTAAGGCCATGCTTGCAGATGTTTTGGTGGGCGACCTTGAGATCAGCAGCTGGGATGACAGGGACTCCTGGTGCTCTTCTTTGCTTTGGGTGCTTTCCTCAGCATTTGCTAAGGTGAAGTTTATCCTCGCAGAAAAGTGAGAGGAGAAGAGGAGAATGGAAGGGAATCTGGTTTCTGTTATCTTGAAATTAAAGACATCCTCATTTCATCTTTCAGGCAGGACCATCCTGTTTGTTTCTGTACTAATGTAAGGGATCTGCTCTAAGCTGTGTATGTCAACAGGATTGTTGCCTGTCCAAAGGCCAGAAGGAAATAATACTGGTACAGGTTAGAACAATGGACCGGTTGGTTTCCAACTGCTTTTAAAATGTCATATTACTTTTTGATCAGAGGATCTTTGCCTAAAGTATCTTTTCTAGAGATGGACATTATTCAGAGATTGTTTAAGTACCTTGAAACTGTTTTGTACCTTGAAACTGTTTCCTGCATTCTAGCAATTACCCATAGAGGATGCTGTGGTGTATCTATGATACTTTTCTGTATTTAATCATGGTAGTCTGTGCACACATATTTTGTAAGTTTTGTTCACACCTCTGAAACTAATCTTTAAGACTGCAATCCTGTATCTCCTTATATTGGGGTGAGCTTCACTGAAGACAGTGAAAATCATTTTCAAATAGATGGACAGGGCTGTACTGCAAGCTGGATTAAAAGTGCAAGAAATTAGTTCAAGGCACCGAAGAAGACAAAACTTGCATATGCCATCTTTCTATTACTGTACATTACTGGGGTTAACATTCCAAGAGTGACATCATCAACATTTTAACTATTATTTTACTATTAAACCCTGTTACTGCCTAAATTATTCAGTCAAGGGATTGCTTGGTATCTAGATAGTAAGCATTACAATGTATGTAAGATTTCAGCTGTATGGCTGAAGAGAAGGAACATGACACCTGGAAGATGTCTTCAGTTGGAGCAAGTAAATCTAATGCCACCAGTGATATTTCATTTCACTAGCAACTTTTAGACTTCTTTTATTTCTTGCTGTTATTTTTTTTCCTTTCTAAATAGTAAATATGCAAAGGAGGTACATAAACAATCTGTAAAAATCAAAGAAACATAAATAGTTAAAATGCCAACAGCAACAAGAGATGTCTAGAGATACAAGTAATAATATCAGAATACCTGAGGTGAAAATATTATTGGTTAGATGAGGGAAACGCTGGCATTAGTTTTGTATGAATTCTTTTTCTTTACTATGCAAGCAGTCAGCGCAGTAACAAAAAATCTATTTTGTCTGCAAAAGTTCAGCTCTGGATTTTTTTTGGTAGAACTTGAAATTCAAATTGATAAAGAGGTTGTGGTATTAAGTGGCCCACTACAAATAAAGTGGCCCACTACAAATTTCTGTGGTGCTCTGACAATGATTCAATCCATCCAATGCTTTCCAATCGTAAAACAAAGTTGATGTCCAGCATATTTTGCTTTTGAAATGTATCCTTATAAGCAGGAAAAAATGACGGACTGAAGCAGAATTCTCATTTCTTCACATGGATTAGAGGAATGATGTACTGTTTTATCCTTGTGGGAGCCTCTGGTTTAGTTTTTATAATATACATTTCTTGGCTCTATTTTTAAAAGACATAATAAAGAGTATTTGTAGATCAGACTGAAGTTCCATCAAGTCCAATGTGAATTAGATGGCTCTAAGCCCACAGGCAAACAAGCAACATTTATTGTATGGACCCCTGTAACTGATAATACTTGGTGATTAGTCTTCAGAGCTCTGTCTCCTAATAATAATAGATAAACCTACTATACATAGGTAGTAGATCTACCCTGATCTTCATGTAAAGCTATTCTAGCCAATAGTCATCATCATCAACATAGGTTGGAGAAGCAAGTCCTCTATACAGATAAATTCTATCTGCTCTGAATCAACTGTCACTTTAATTCAGTGAAACATCCCACTCCAGTGATACGGTAGTAGAAGAACACAATCTCTTTAGCCTCCTTTTAATTTAGCCATATAATTGTTTCACAGATCTATATTTTATTTCCTCTCACCACCAGTACTATCCAAATAATCTTTTGTCTGTTATGAAAGGCACTTCAACTTCCAAATGCAAATATACCAGAGTGTTATCAAATGGCATTATATAGCGGGGCATCTTATTTTAAGCCTCTTTTTTCATTAGTGCTAATGTGGAAACTGACATTTTCATTGCCTCTATATAGCTGTCACCTTTTTCAGTCAGAGGGTGATTCCCCCCCCTTTTCTTAATGTTAGCCCTCTTAGTGATGCCTTCATCATCATGAAGGCATAATGATATTTTATTACCATTACTCAACATTACCATATTGTTGGTAATATTACTCCATTGTGCCTCACTTGGACATGAGAAACCTCATTAATAAGAAACCTCATTAGCCATGCTGTTCCCCCAGTTTGACAAAAGAGGAAGCAACCCTGTTCAATTGATTCAATTGCTACATTTGGCCCAGTTCTATTGACATAGATCCAGTATCTTTTCTCCAGAGCAACAGTATTCTATCTGGATATGCCAGAGATTGAACCTGAAATCTTTATGAAATTCAGTGCTCTACCACTGAACTACTTTCTCTCCCATTAAAGGAAATTCCTTTGGGGAGTCTTCTCATTGATTTGATGTCATCTACAAATAGGAGTACAGCTGAAACATTGTTTCCTTCCAGCATCTGTACTGAAATGGAGCTGACTCAGCGGAGTAGTACCAAAGTACTACTTTATTATTATTTTTAAATGCTTTAAACCTGTCTTTCCACGAAAAATGCAAAGTATCTTGTTTTGAAAAACTACCTGAGCTATAAAATAACAATAACAAGAGCTCTCTAAGTACATCTACAGAGCATTTCACCAATGAAAAGTCATGTTTATTTGTTTATGTATTAATTGTGCCAGTTCTCAGGACAGGTAACTTGGGGCTAAAAATAAATATTTGCTCTGAGACCTGGCCATATGTATAGATGCTTTGTGTCATGGGGTATATCAACATATCCCTCAGCATTTCTGCTAGAGGTAGGAACAAAATAGCATACTGTATGTAAGGACAGAGTGG